ACTGGTTGGCTGATCAATATCGACTAAACTAATAGGAATTTTTTCATTTACTCTATTTGTTATTTCTTGTCTCATATCATAAACTGCTCCAGCTCTAATTAGCGTTTCATCAAGTCTAGCCAAAGACCTATATGCTTCCTGAGAAATTCGATTATGATCAATTGACTTTACAATAGCTTGTGTTTGTAATTCTATTTGTTGTTTATCGATTTTTCCATAATTGATATTATATGTATGACCACTGATTTCAAACTTTGCTTGTTTAAGAACGATGCTATCATTTGGATGAAAAAAATTCTCTTTTTCTTCTTCTACAAATTCTAGTAACCGTTTTCCTAAACCTAATATGTGTTTGCGCTATGCTGAGGTACTATAATTATTAAATAGTTTCATTCGTACTAACTCATTTGATGTTACTGTTTTACGAACTGTCTCTATACTTCTACAGCATAAGCCAAAAAGAAGGGGTCCAGAGAGTCTGCTTTTAGATTTTACTTGTTCATTGTTTTAAATATCTTTAACTAAAGCCTAATAAAAATTATACAGTATTAAATATAGTTGTTGGTAAAACTACTGAACTAAATTACACTGGTAAAACTGGTGACTATCTAGTATTTAAAATATTTGTTATTTTACCTCACAATATAATCGTGCAGCATGTGAAGTTGACTAATCCGACTCTACAAGCTTGTCTAAATACTCTCCAAAGTATATTTGATATAATGGTTTATCATCAATATAAACTATCAAGCACTCAACAATATATATTTTTTTTGAATACATAGTTCGAACAACATAATTATGGGGTATAGGGTACTTTGCAGGGTGCTGAGTATATTTAAGTTTATTCTTTGGTGGATATACACCTTCTTTAATTATATGAAATTTGAAAGTTTAATGTTCATCTTTTAGGACAATATCAGGGCTTTCCGGATAATTACTTTCTTCTTCCCATACCATTTTGGTAAATAAAGTTTTAACAAATGCTAAATGTGTTTATAACTTGTTAATAACTGGTTGTTCAACCAGTTGTATTATTTATAGTCACATGTTTGCATTACAGTCAGGAATTTTACTAAATTAGGAAATCACATTCTATGTATCATTCTGTGAATTTGATTGGCTGTGTAACATTTTTTATCAATGTGAGATTATTTGATATTTTATTTATTTATTCGATATTAAACAATATATGAATAGCTAATATAAGATATCTACTTTAAATGATCCCATTTGATCCCTTAAAATAAACAATTATAAAAAAGGCAGATGGAAACCAACTTCTTTTAATTAATAAGCAAATTTTGTTGTGGTTAAATTTGATTGGTCAATCACACATGATTTTCGTGCAACCAAATGATCTAGAATCATGTGATCGACATTTCTATACCATACAAGGTGCGATCTACATTGTCCATTTTAGGCAAAATCTCTGACTGTTATATCGATTACTATCCAATAACCAATTAATATCGATAGTAATCCCCTTGCAAATTTTGGTGATGATGATGCTAAAATCGAGTTTGAAGGCTCAATTTGAAAATATAAGCTTTATCAAAATCTACCCATACTCTTTTATTAATAACTCTAACCTCTTAGCTTTAAAAAAAAAGCTAACAAAAAAGATTCAAAAAATTTTTAAAAAACATAGATTCAAATTTTATTATATAATTTCAGCATCATTCGTAACATTAATTATTGTCACAGATCATAATGAAACTGGATTAAAATGAAATGAGGGTTTCTATTTAACCCTCTAAAACCCACTTATACTTGTTTATTATAAACACTACCTAAAACTAACCTCTAACCCTAGCTTCTAACCCCAAAAAGTACATCTCAAAAATTTTTATTTTTCAGCAGCTTGTCTATTTTTATATTGTACAATATTTCATTTTGATCTGATTTCATTTTAATCTATCACAATTATTGCAGCATTGTTTTTTTTAGCACTTACCGGTATTTAATTTATCATTTATAGGTGAATGGAGAATGTTTAGACATGATGAGCATGATATGAAAATAACTCACGTTCTTTGTTAATTTTGGATTCATTCACTAGTCATACAATGGACTCTGTAAAAAGGCATTTTGAGGAAAAGAATACTAACTTGGCTTTAATTCCCGGTGGTCTAACATCTCGCTTACAACCCCTTGACGTTTCTATGAATAAATCATTTAAATCAAAGGTAAAATCAAGTACAGTCAACTCATTCTATAAAAAACTAACAGTTCTGAAAAAAAAAGGTTCGATATGGGAAATTACTATATTTACTTAAGGATTCATGGTGCTTTTTATTCTGAATTTTTAAAATTTTGAGTTCATTATATCCAGTGTTCATTATGTAGAGGCTCATTATATCCAGAGTTAACTGTAATGTTAGAATTAGAGTGAATATTATGATAATATTAGAAAATCATGCTTCTTGGTTATACTGTATTTAAATTTTTCTCACATCTAACAATTTAATTTTAAGCTTTATTTTATTTTATTTACTTTTTATTTATTTATTTATTATTTATTTATTAAAAGATGCGAAATCTTTATAATCAATGGATGGATGAAGGAATCAAAGAATACACTAAAACTGGCAAGATGAAACGTCCTTCGTATTTTTTGGCTACTACTTGGGTAAAAGAGGCTTGGGAAGCTGTAGATATTAACATGATCAGGAAGTCTTTCACATGTTGTGGAATTTCTAATATGATGAATGGAACCGAAGATGATCTGATTTTTGACTTCACGAAAGTTACGAATGAAATAAATCCAAGAAGAGGAATTGAAAGTCAGGAAGAAGATGAAGATAATGAAAATGATGATGGTGATGATAACAATGGTGGAAACACTGATGCAAATAAAGGTGGATTGGTGTATGACGATTACTACGAAGAAGGTGAAAAATTAACGGTCATTCAAGACTGGAATTAATAGAAATAGGAATTTCCGGGAGATTATAAACATTCAAAATTAAATTCATCTCCATTACCACAACCCAATGATTTAATAACAGAATTACCAGTACAAGCAAAAAAAAAATTTTTTTTCTTAAATAATCAAATTTTATAATCATTAAATAAATTCAATCTTGCACCTTGCTATGCTCAAACTTTACCATTTAGAATTTCTAGTACGAAGTTATGATACATTACAGTTTGGTGTCAAACATGTGATCCTTATAAAACAGCAAAGGGGTAGACAAGTGAAAATAAATATATCGATGATTTTATTTAAAAAGTTTAAAGCTACAGAATACGATTCAAATGGATTCCTTTCAATATATTAGACAATATTCAAAAGATTGATCACATCTTTCACTTGGTGTCTAACATGTGGCCCTCAAAAACACACAAGTGAAAAAAAATCGATAACTGCATTAAAAAATTTCCACTCAAAGCTACTGAACATGAAGACAGTATCGAGTAAGTCATGTTCAATAATACTGTAATCTAATTTACTGATCATTGCTTATTCTATTACAACTGTAATTT